TATAAAGTGTTACCAAAAAAATAAACAAACAAACCCTTCAATGTGCATTTCCAAGAAACTAGTTTGTCTGATTATGCAACAGAGATTTTTTTTTAACCTCCCACCTCCTTAACAAATCTCTTGCCCACAAGACGCAGGATGGTGATTATGCTCTTGCACCAGCGTTCACACAAACTTTCAAAGCATATCTGTGTTTTGGCCATTATAAAAAAAGGTAAACTGGGCAACAAAAATGTAAATACCATCGGCCCCCATGTATGTCTTTAGCTGCTTTTCCAGTACAAGACTCCCGATCTTTAAACATTTTCACAACCCGTCTTTCATTCCATTGTTGAAACTGAAACAAGCGTGAGACAGCCTGTGCTGTAACGCATGCTGGAGGACAGTTATGGATGTAGAAAGCTCTTTTGAAGAACACCTTTAATTTTGCTGCCAGATTTATGCGATTGCCCCGAGGAGATACAACATACTTGAGGGCAATTACTGATCAAATAATCCCGCTGCTGAAAAGGACAGATGAAAAGAGAAATAAATGGACGGAGACAAGAAGACGGAGCCCGACAGTAGTACTAATAAAGTCAGAATGCTCAATGTACTGGAGTCGGAAGGAGTAAATGACTCCAAAATTGAATTATGGCTATTAATGATCTCACATTGCAGAAACGTGCAGTGTCTGATGCGGGCGTACGCACACGCTCAGAATCCACAAACACTAAACTTCCGATGCTAACTTCATCTTTGGCATCTTCGTGTGCACCGACTGAGTTGAGTGTCTGGATCTCTAATGCATTATGCATCAGCCCTCAACATGTCCTTGACCGGGGTTACATAAATTTCACATACATTACAGATGTAATCCATTCTAATGAGCTTAGACTTTATCTAGTTGGGCACGGAAAACACGAGGGAGTTACGCCACTCCATTTGCGATAAATATCATCATCATCATGCGCGCTCGGCTTTTGTTGGCATAGTTTTAGCGTCAGCACAAGTAGGTGCAAAACTGCGTGAGCCGATTGTGTGCTTATTGCAGCGGCGGCTGGTGATTGTTTACTGGGGTTGGGAATGAGACACTGAGGGCTGCTGCTGCTCACGCTGGTGCACTGAGCTGTGATGTGAAAACACAAGAAAAACAAACCAATACATGAGCTGAGTTTGGACCCTTCCTCTCATTTCTCACAGGAAGAAAAATTAAAAATGAATGCTGAACATACAGAGCTTGAGAAATGTATTAGATCCCCATCCAGTGTAAGGTTTATGCCAGGGCTGCCCTAAATTATTAGCATTGATAATTACCAAAATATATATATTTTTTTTTCTGCAATGGGTAATACACCAGAAGTAGAAGTTCTTTAACCAAAATGATGTTTTTAATGCTAAAATATAACTGATATTATCAATTAATTTTCAAATGTAGTGTTTTTTAAAAACTAAAATGTCAAATTCTAGTTATGTACTTGCATTCCTGAACAAATGGTTGAATGTCCTGCTTGATTAAAGTCTGATTTTTCAGAGAAGCCCAGTGAGCCACTTACATTTGGGTATAAAAAAGGTGAATTCCTCCTCATTCTTGTTCAGAACGGTAAAAAGTCAAGAGCTGAGCGAGCATTAAAGCACTTCATGATGTTTAACACTTGAAATAACTTGTTCTTTATCGTGTTCTTGATATTTACAACAAAGCCGCAAAAGAAACATGCAGCAACAGAGCTAATATCGGCTGATGTTACACTTGATTCTTCAGAGTGGCATAAGGTCTCGACTGAATCTTATTGTGTTATAGATTTTGTGGCCCTTGTTACACCCATTTCTGTAGCATCAAGAAGATGCTGAATTATTCTGAATAGCTCGAATGATGGTGAAGAGAATACGCAACAGATTCATTTGTTTTTTGCAGTTAATTATTGTATAATATTTCTGAACATGATCACTATCAACAGGCTTAAAAACGAACTAAATAAATGATTTATCTAATTATATATAATGTATTAAGATTACTGATGGGAACGCATCCTTTATCGTCCGGCCACCGCTGACACACCGTGAGTGAAAACTATACATATATGAACACACACTATTAGCGCTAATGTTATTCATTAATGCATATGGCAGCTGCAGGTCTGCTGTCACCATAGTGATAATCAGAACAGTAGTTATATTTATGTATCATGCGTGTTAGGTGCCAGGCTGTTATATGAAATGACTACAGTCGCACTTTCCAGCTCTGAAACACTGAAAACGAATTTGTGAAGGTACCGCAGCGGCATTAAGCGCTGCCCTTCCTTCCTCCTCATGCCGGCTATGGGCGTCCTTGTAATTATATTACCTTTAAATGCTTGTATTTTCTTCCAATCTCGGCGCACTCGACGTGGTTTGAAATATGAAATCTGAATTCTATTTTAAAAAAAAAAAAGAAATTCAAGTTGGCTTACATTTTATTTACTTTCATATGAGATACGTGGCTGAAACATTTATAGGCTGATTATGAATCGCTAGACTTCGCCAGGCGTTCAGTAATATTTAAAATAATATCGGGTTGCGAGATGTTTTTTGAATGCCTTACGCTTGATGTTTGAGCTGACATTCCCCAAAACAACCCAACTAGATAAACTAGGTGCTAATTAGTCAGACTTACTACGATGCCATCTAGAGTACACCTTTTCTGTCGCTGTATGTACCGGCTACTGGACCAAATATAGGGAAAACAAACTCTGTAGAAAAAAAAGAATGGATCAATAGTCACCAAATAGCCCCCAGTGTTTGTATTTGTGTGTGTGTTTGTGTGCACTAACCTGTATCCTGGTCGCAAATTTGCTCACAGGGCTCCGTTGTCCTCTGGCCACAGTAGTCTCGGACCCACTGTGTGGACGAATTGGTCTGATAGTAGAGAGTCAGCTTGGCTGGATTTAGCCAATTAGAGACATCCAGGAAGCTGCCCATGCTCACCACAAAGCTACTTCCTGGAAAAACAAAAACAAAACAGAAGATCCAATTTAAGATCCTTTCACTTGTAATAAATAAAACAATAAAAACAAGGCTCGATTGTTTGGTGTTTTAAACGCCCCCTTTTTTTTCCCGGTTCTACTGCAAAATCAATCGGAAAGTAGCTAATTCTTTTTGTTTTCACTGTAATTTTATTTCTCACCCTGACCAAACTGAATTTAAATGAGAAAATTAAGACCTGTAATGCGTGTATTGATGGGATTTCCTTGGTAATTGCGGTGGAGGGGCTAAAAGGGTTTCACGAGTCAATCAGTAAACGCTGTGCTCATTGACGCTGACTTACCTTTCTTTCTTACTGCTCTCAGACCAATCGTTAAACTCTGATCACTGAACAAGATTATCCCTAATTGATGCCAATGAGTTTTGGTTCCAAAGGGAGCTGTGAGGAGATTGTGCTTGAGCTCTCTGGTTAACACAAAGATTCTTATACGGCTATATTTCGTGCATAAATCGCCGGGTCACGGGAGGTAAATTTTGCAGAAGCGTTTACAGTAACTATGCATTTGGTTGGCGAAGAGAATTGAAAATGCTTTTAAAAAACTGAGCTGAGACACAAAGAGAGGAATTGTGTGGGAAAAAAAATGGTCTGAGTCACATGAAAAGTTACAGGTTTCAATGCCCGGCAGTAAAATGCACAACGCTGATGAGAAATACCCAGCGAAGAAACGCTTTGCAGCAAACACGGCAATAAGATCCCAAGCCGACTCGACTATTTTTTTTTTTTTCGTGTGTGTTTTTCTTTCTTAACAAATCCCTGATAGAATAAACTACCATTTGTCTCCTCCTACACACATGAAGTCACCAGCTGCATCTTGGACAGGAAAGCGTTGCACTGGGACAGCCTGATCCACACAAAGCCNTTTTCAGAGAAGCCCAGTGAGCCACTTACATTTGGGTATAAAAAAGGTGAATTCCTCCTCATTCTTGTTCAGAACGGTAAAAAGTCAAGAGCTGAGCGAGCATTAAAGCACTTCATGATGTTTAACACTTGAAATAACTTGTTCTTTATCGTGTTCTTGATATTTACAACAAAGCTGCAAAGAAACATGCAGCAACAGAGCTAATATCGGCTGATGTTACACTTGATTCTTCAGAGTGGCATAAGGTCTCGACTGAATCTTATTGTTTTATAGATTTTGTGGCCGTTCTCACACCCATTTCTGTAGCATCAAGAAGATGCTGAACTATTCTGAATAGCTCGAATGATGGTGAAGAGAATACGCGACAGATTCAGTTGTTCTTTGCAGTTAATTATTGTATCATATTTCTGAACATGATCACTATCAACAGGCTTAAAAACGAACTAAATAAATGATTTATCTAATTATATATAATGTATTAAGATTACTGATGGGAACGCATCCTTTATCGGCCGGCCACCGCTGACACACCGTGAGTGAAAACTATACATATATGAACACACACTATTAGCGCTAATGTTATTCATTAATGCATATGGCAGCTGCAGGTCTGCTGTCACCATAGTGATAATCAGAACAGTAGTTATATTTATGTATCATGCGTGTTAGGTGCCAGGCTGTTATATGAAATGACTACAGTCGCACTTTCCAGCTCTGA